GAGCCCGCGGGTTCGAGACCCGCTTGGGCAGGCGAGACCTCATCTCTACAATAAAATCAAAAAATCAGCCAGGCGTGGTAGCGCATGCCTGTAATTCCGGCTACTCGGAAGGCTGAGGCGGAAGGATCGCCGGAGCCCAGCAGGTCGAGGCTGCGGTGGCCGGGAGCGGCCACAGTGGCCGGAAGCGGCCACTGCACTCCAGTCTGGGCGACAGTGAGACTCCAACTCAAAAAAAAAAGAAAAGAAAGAAAGAAAGACTGAGGTGGAAGGATCACCTGAACCCAGCAGGTCAAGGCTGCAGTGGCTGTGAGAATGCCACTGAACTCCAGTTTAGGCAACAGAGTGAGCTCAGACACAAAAGTGTCTTTGAGGAAGTAGGATTGGTAGGTGAAAGGGCAAACTCAGATGCTGAATCCATACAGCCAAATTCCTCTCCTCGGGGTCTGTGCTACTTTTCTCACTCAGTTGTGAGAGTATCTGTTTCTCTATGGTGCTGCCAACATTTCAAGCATAGTACCAAATTTTTGAGCACAGTTCTTAAAAAAATCTAAATGAGTTGGCTGGGCATGGTGGCTCATGCCTATAGTTCCAGCTACTCAGTAAGCTGAGACAGGAGGGTCTTCTAAGCCCTGGAGGTCGAGGCTGCAGTGAGCCATGATTGTGACACTGCACTCCAGCCTGTATGACAGAGTGCGAGCCCCCCAACCGCACAAAAAAATTAGTCGTCAAATTTTAAGAGTGAAAAGATGACCAGGTATGCTGGCTGATGTCTGTAATCTCAACACTTTGGGAGGTGGAGGCGAGAGGATGGCCTGAGCCCAAGGGTTCAAGACCAGCCTCGGCAACTAAAAACATTAGCTGGGCGTGGTGGCGCATGCCTGTAGTTCCAGGTACTTCGAAGGCTGAGGGGGAAGGATTGCCCGAGCCCAGCAGGTCGAGGCTGCGTTGGCTGTGAGCATGCTACTGCACTCTAGCCTGGACAACAGAGTGAGACTCCAACTCCAAAAAAAAAAAAAAGTATTCTCAAGGAAGTACAGATACTGGTTATTCGTATCATGGGGGTGAAGTCAAGTCAGGGTTCCCTTACCCAAATGCTATTTACCTGGTAAGCCTTTCTCCTGGGGTCCAGTGAAAACGTCTCAGTAGTCAAAGCATGTGAGGATTGGAGGGGCCTGGAGCAGAAGATCCTAAACTCATACACATTGTTTTACTCTGGCTGCCTATCCAATACATGTTTGGGGGCCCTGTATGTTCACTTGGTCAGCCCTGACTGGACTCTATTTTGGTTCTTCCATTGTGTCTCATTTCTACATCAGTTCGACTTAGAATTTGAAAGAGTCAAGTTACTAACTAGAAGGAAATATCTACTTTTAAATAATTTATATGTATTTTTATAACAATTCCCTTAAATATTTCTAAAAAGGGTTTGGTGGCATATTTAATACGTGATGGCATTTAAAGACTTAACTAACTAGGGCCATTGGTTTTTGTGTGAAATCATTGTTTGTAAGGTCCATAGTTTCATAAAATAGAATCAAACTAGGTTTAGGGATATAAATATATATAACTGCTTTGAATCAAAACCTTCTAATTTAAGACAGGAATAGAGCCATGATGTCACAAAATGTACAGAAATTCCATGGTGCAGAAGACTCAAGGCCTTATTATGGTTGTGTATGTGTGCAGGCCAACTCTAAGATGCAATTTAAACATATTTTCAGGGTCAGGCGCAGTGGCTCACACTTGTAATCCCAGCAATTTGGGAGGCCAAGACAGGAGGCTCACTTGAGACCAGAAGTTTAAGACTAGCCTGGACAGCAAAGCAAGATCCCATCTCTACAAAAAATAGAAAAATTAACCGGGTATGGTGGCATGTGTTTGTAGTCCCAGATATCTGGGAGGCTGAGGCAGAAGATTGCTTGAACCCAGGAGGTCAAGGCTGCGGTGAGTGGTGGTCATGCCACTGAACTCCAACCTGGGTGACAGAGTGAGACCCTGACTCAAAAAAAAAATTTTGTTTTTCGTTGAGGCCATTGCTTTTTAATTTGGAATTTCAAAGGATCCTACATCTAAGAAACTAAAGCCTGATATTGGTCAATCAGGCTGAGGACAGCAAGGACGGGAAAGAAAAAGCAAGAAAGCATAAGCAAATCAGGCAAAAGCTGTTGTCTGATAATAACTTACTAAAGATCTTGGGTAGGCCACTTTGCCTTTCTCATCCCTGGAGCCAAGACTTGCTTCAGGATCCAGCAGGTGAACTCAGCCACAAAGGGGCCCCTCTGATTTACTGTAGAGACGAGGTCTCGCCAAGTTGCCCAGGCTGGTCTGTGGACTCAAACAATCCTCTCACCTCGGCCTCCCTAAGTGCTGGGATTATAAGCATGAGCCAGTGTGCCCAGCCCAGAATAATTTTAGTAAGCAGGAGGGGTGTGTGTGTGTGTGTGCACGTGTGTAAGAGTGTGTGTTCATATGCATGTGTGCATAACTGTGTGCATGGTTGTGTATGTGTGTGCACAAGCATGCTCACTCCACAGGCTGTGAAAGGAACAAGGCTCCTACAGGGAGAGGGCTCTGCATTGAGGGAGAAGAGGCAGCTATGGGGAGGTTGAGGCCCTGAAGACAAGCTTTGTCTGCTTCCTACATGTTACCAAGGTCAGCCCTTTGGACAGTCAAGATGAGGGACGGACGAGAGAAGGAAGGCAGACGCACGCTCACCAGGAGAAGAGCTGACCTGCCCAGCAGGGAACGTACATTTCTGTGCTTCTAGAAAACTGTGAGCTCATTAGCCGGGCATGGTGGCACACGCCTGTAGTCCAAGCTTCTTGGAAGTCTGAGGTGGAAGGATTGCCTGAGCCCAGCAGGTCGAGGCTGTGGTGGCCAAGGGTGTGCCACTGTACTCCAGCCTGGTCAACAGAGTGAGACTTCGACTCAAAAAAAAAAAAAGAAAAGAAAACTGCGAGCTCCTCATTCTTCTTCTAGGAACATGGGGAAAAAGCAACCGTATTCCCCAGTTTCTTGCTGCTAAGGACTGCTGTCACCTCCACATACCGTAACGGCAAGCAAGGTCAAAGATGAATCTCTGTGCAAGCCCTAGTGATTCGGATAAAAGAAGGAGTCAAGCGCCGGTCCTGCCTCTTGCATTAACGGCCTCCCAATTAAAGCAATTTTCCATTCCTCCCCAGAGTGGAGCAGCTGGTTGTGTTTCAGAAGATGTAACAGACTTAAATGTCAGGGTGCCGAGTGAGGGGCAGGCGGCGCCCGCCCAGGTCCCAGCTTCCACGCGCAAGTGTGCAGTGCTGAAGTCAGTCTTCTAATTAAACTTGGCGAGATTACAATGGAAAGAAGATTTGGGAGTTGGCAGCGTGGCGCACAAACAAACTTTTATGTGAATAATTAAGCGACAGCTAAGCATATGCTGGAACATCTTTAATCAACTTGTGATTACAGTTACCAGTAAAAGCCCAAACGTTTCCGAAAGCTTCTATGTTGTTTATGTGCTGTGGTTATTTTAACATAACCTCTTTGATAGACCCAGCATATCTTTTTACCCATTGCTTCTTTTGTCTCCTCTTTTCCAAATTCCTGCCCATGTATGACACTGGCGACTTGTGAAAAGGACTGTATGTATGTGTGAGCATGTGTGCACAAACATTTTACATGTGAAGATACACACACACACACACACACACACACACACACACAGTCAGGAGCATTTCACACACAAGCCCACAAGCTGCCTTTAAGGAACTTCACTCTAATAAAACCCAGGGTGTTATGTTTGGACTCAAAACCACTTGGATGGATTTGTGGTCTTCAGCAATGACTCTGTGGAACAGTCTGGATCCAGGTCAGACTGGGAAGACACCTCCCGGTTCATACTGGACTCCGCGGCTCTGAATGAGGAGCTAATTCTCCACTGGTCCCGAGACACCATCATGAACTTTGCTTAAACCTTTGTACATTTCAAACCACAACGGCAGAAACCACATGAAGGTTTGGGGTGAAACAATTGCTGCTTCCAAATGAAAGCTGTTGAATTTTTAAGAGAATTTAAACAACATAGGATTCTACATATACTAGCTAGCATGTTGAGAAAGTAGCATAGGAAAGGTTTGTTGGGCATTTTCAGAATTCCAACTCCATTTGAGTTCAGAGTACAAACTCACTGTTATTTAAGCTCTAAAACTCGATTCTTTTTCTTGCATTTTTCTAAGCCAGCATTGCATCTGAAGAAAATTATTAAAAATGAGGGTGCATTTTTAAAATGTAGGAGATAAATTCTGCCTTTCTTTATCCCCCAAAAGATAATTATGGAGACCAGGCTAGTGCTGTGTATATTGTCTATAAAATATTTAGATTCTACTTGGTGTGTGTGTGTATGTGTGTGTATTTGAGTCAGAGTCTCACTCTGCTGCCCTGGCTGGTGCAGTGGCACAATCATAGCTCACCACAGCCTCAATCTCCTGTACTCAGGCAATCCATCTGCCTCTGTGTCCCAAGTAGCTTAGACTACAGGTGCGTGCCACCACTCCCAGTTAATTTTTTGATTTTTGTAGAGACGAGGTCTTGCTATGTTGCCCAGGCTGGTCTCAAACTCCTGGGCTCAAGCAGTCCTCTTGCTTTTGCTTCCCAAAGTGCTAGGATTACAGGCGTGAGCCACCCCACCTCGTTTTGCTTGATTTTTATAACTGGTTTGGTGGTATCTTATATGTATTTTTCCCTAATATTCTTCTACTCCGGACTCCCTCAAACTTAAAGTTCTTTCTAGAAGAGTAACATTATTCAGTTACTATATGAGTTCTAGAACAACTGCTAAGTTAGCCTTTCTCTCTCCCCAGGAACAGTGTATTTCTTCCTTGCTACTCAAACAATCAAAACAGAGAAAGGTTAGTGGCTAACTTCATCCAATATGGAACAAAGCAGACATTTTAACTTTAAAATGAAAACAGTCCATACACTGTATCCATCTCAGTTGGCCAAGAGCAACGGACCCGGCTTACCTTGGACACAAAACATTCGGCTATGGCCACAGGGTCGTTTTCACAGTTTTCCAAATCTTGCAGAAGTTCACTATATAAAAAAAAAAAGCCAGGAAGTATTAGATTACAGGTCTCCAGTTGAGAACATTTTACATAATTTAAAAGTTTAAATATTACTATGTCATTTATAAGGATGCATATAATTGGATAACTGAGGAACTATTGTCATTGTATCCAAGGCTTAGATAAGGGACTTGGCCAAGGTCATGGTTGGAGCAGCAATTTAAACACAGGTTGAACTCTCCAACCTAATATTTAAGTCTTCTAGACATTAGTCATTGTATGTGTGAATGTTCATACATACATATGCATTCATCAAACACCCATCTAAAACACCAAGTATAGTCCAAGACATTAAGAATACAACAGGAATGGTGTTTTAGGCCAGGGGTGGTGGCTCATGCCTATAATCGTAGCACTTTGGGAGGCCGAGGTAGGAGGATCCCTTGAGGCCAGGAGTTCAAGATCTTCCTGGGCAATATAGTGAGACTCCCATCTCTACAACAACTATTAGTCAAGCATGATGGCGCTGTCCTATAGTACTAGCTACTCAGGAGACTGAGGTGTGAGGATTCCACTGAGCCCAAGAATTTGAGGCTGCTGTGAGGTATGATCACACCATTGCACTCTTGCCTGGATGACGGAGCAATACCCTGCCTCTAAACAACAACAACAAAAAAAAGACAGTGCTTTAAAGGAAAGATATGCTAGGGAAGGAAATATCTTTCCTCAAATGTAAATCCACTTATTTTTTTTAGTCAGAGTCTCACTCTGTCACCCAGGCTGGAGTACACTGGCACGTTCATGGATACCACAGCCTTGACCTGCTGGGCTTAGGTGATCCTTTCACCTCAGCCTTCCAAGTAGCTGGGACTACAGGCATGTGCTACCATGCCTAACTAATTTTTTGATTTTATTGTAGAGACGAGGTCTCGTCAAGTTGCCCATGCTGGTCTCGAACCCCTGGACTCAGGCAATGTAATGCTCTTGCTCTGACTCCCAAAGAGCTGGGATCACAGGTGTGAGCCACCATGCTCAGCTTCACATTCTTTTTTCTAATGGCTGTATCATTATTTTAAGGAACAGTATAATATTTCATTGTGTAAATGTACCATGCTTAATTTAATTACTATCTCACTGTTGAATAAAATTCTATAAGTGGAACTGATAGGTCAAAGGACATTCTCAATGAAAATGTTAACACATTTCCAGATTGTCTTTAAGTTATATTAGTATATATTTTAAAATGTTAAGTGTTTTACCTTAGTTAGATGTGTTACATGTTTAATAAAAAGTTAAACGTTCTATAGAAAGACACAATCAAGCAGTTTCTTGCTGCTTTGCACTCTCAATTGCCATTGCCCAGAAGCATTTTTGACTTTTCAGCTATTTCTGCTTTAAATAGTTCCAGGCCAAGTGTGGTGGCTCACGCCTATAATCCCAGCATTTTGGGAGGCCGAGGTGAGAGGATTGCCTGAGCCCATGGGTCTGAGACCAGTCTGGGCAACTTGGCAAGACCTTATCTCTACTATAAATCAAAAAATTAGCTGGGTGTGATGCCACACGCCTGTAGTTCCAGCTACTTGGAAGACTGAGGCAGAAGGATCACCTGATCCCAGCAGGTCAAGGCTGCGGTAGCTGTGAGTGTGCCACTGCACTCCAGCATAGGCAACAGAGTGAGAGACTCCAACTCAAAATAAATAAATATAAATAGCTCCAAATTTCCAAGTATGCTGATAATGTATTCTCATCATTTCTCAGTTTTAGATATATAATTAATTTCCCTAAATTTCCCCTGCTGCCACCTTCTCAGCTAGTTCTACTATGCAATTTGATTAAATGTCAGAATCTACATCTTTAAAATTATGTAAATATTATTTGCCACGAAGCCTTTGCATATATACTACAATTTCACATTCTTTCTCACAGAACCATGTTTAACTTGGAATTAAAATTATATATATATATTTTTTTCTTTTTTTTTTGCTTTTTTTCAAATGACATACCACTAATTTATTCTTAAATTATGTGCCAAGCCAGGCGTGGTAGCTCTTGCCTGTAATCCCAGCACTTTAGGAGGCAGAGGCAAAAGGATTACCTGAGCTCAGGGGTTTGAGACCAGCATGGACAACTTGGTGAGACCTCATCTCTAAAATAAATTTAAAAAATCAGCTGGACATGGTGGTACATGCCTGTGGTTCCAGCTACTTGGAAGGCTGAGGCAGGAGGATCACCTCAGCCCAGCAGATCGAGGCTGCAGTGGCTGTGAGTGTACCATGTACTCCAGCCTGGGCGAGAGAGTGAGACTCCTTCTCAAAAAAAAAAAAAAAAAAAAATTGTGTGCCAAAAGTATAAATCTCATCTGACTGTGCTCAAACCTCAGATAATTTATTGGATGCATTTATTTCTCTTCTTATTTTTAAAATTATTTTTATTTTTTGTAGATAGGGTCTTGCTATGTTACCCAGGTGTCTGAACACCTGGCCTCAAAGGATCTTCCTAGCACCTTGGCCTCCCAAAGCGCTAGGATTACAGGTGTGAGCTACTGCACTCAGGCTGCATTTCCTTCTTGGTGGCCTCTGCTCCAGCTCGGACAGGTTGCTTTAAAGACCTGGTGGGTTCTCTCTTCAACATCATCCTAATGATGGTCTTTGCCAATCTCCGGTGCCTGACGCCTTGTTTCTCAGATGCAATTTCTGAAGTATGCCTTCCTTTGGGAGATTACAACATCCAGCAGTAGCTTTCTGAGTAAGGGTAATAGAAGGTACATTTTCTGAGGTGCTTCCTATTTCAAAATATTCTCCCTTCACACTTGGCTGATAATGTCAGTGGATATCATTCTTTGTCTAAAGTCATTTTTCCTGAGTATTAAGTATTCAAGGAATGATTTGTTGACTTATACATTCCAATGCTGCTATTGAGAGTCCAATATCATTCTCATCCCCAGCCCAGGTTCCATGTGACCTGATTTTTTAATTTTTGAGCCAGGGTCTCAATCTGTCACCCAGACTGGAGTACAATGGTACATCACAGCTCACAGCAGCTTTGACCTCCTGGGCTCAGGTGATCTTTCCACCTCAGCCTCCTGAGTAGCTGGAACTAAAGGTGTGTGCCACCACATCTGGCTAATTTTTGTACTTTTTGTAGAGACAAGGTCTCGCTATGTTGCCCGGGCTGGTTTTGAACTCCTGGGCACAGGCAATCCTCCTACCTTAGCCTCCCAAAGTACTGGGATTACAAGTGTGAATCACTGAACCTGACTTTTTTTTTTTTTAATTCTGAAAGCTTTTAGAGTTTTCTCCTTGTTAACATTAATTCTGAAATTTTGCGATGGTAGGTTTTGAGTTAGGTATTTTCCCATGCACTGAGCCAACTTGAAAATTTAGGAAACGATCTTAGTAGCAGTTTTCTAAGTGTGGTCCAAAGACTTGTGGCATTCTGGAGATCCCTTCAGGAAGTCCAAAAGGCTGCTGTTCTATAAAAACATCAAAACATTATTGGATTTTTTGCTTTCATTTTCTCATGAGAGTGCAATGAACTTTTCCAGAGGCTACATGATGTATGATATCACAAAAGATGAGAAGTAGAAGCAGAAAGGATAATTCAGGTGACTTTTAGCAAGTCAGAGTAAAGAGCTCTGCAAAAAAGTAAAATGATTCCAAAACAAACAAAAGAATTTACTGAAAAAGGTAATAAATTATTTTTCTTGAAATATGTGGGTTTATTAAGTAAATTGATATTTTAACAGGGTTTCGGTTTTAGTTTCTAACATGTTGAACAAAACATAGTAAAACATGAACAGAAAAAAGTCTTTGAGTCCTTAGTAATTTTTAAGCATGTAAAAGATTCTGGGCCAAAACACTTAATCTCTGCTCCTCCTGAATAATGTTTTTGCTAGATTCTTCCTCCACTTTTTGTTTTTCTTGAGTTGGAGTCACTCTGTTGCCCAGGTTGGAGTGCAGTGGCATGATCATGGCTATCACAGCCTCAACCTCCTGGGTTCAGGAGATCCTTCCACCTCAGCCTCTCAAGGAGCTGGGACTACAGGAGTCCCTACCACCACACCAGTTAAGTTTTTTTTTAATCAAAGTCTTACTATCATCCAGGCTGGAGTGCAATGGCACACTCACTGCCACCACAGTCTCAACCTACTGGGCTCAGGTGATCCTTCCGCTTCAGCCTTCCAAGTAGCTGCAACCACAGGCGAGTGCCACCACACCCGGCTAATTTTTTTGTTTACTGTAGAGACGAAGTCTCACCAAGTTGCCCAGGATGGTCTCGAATCCCTAGGCTCAAGCAGTCCTCTTGCCTCTGCCTTCCAAAGTGCTGGGATTATAGGTGTGAGCCACTGTGCCTGGACCTGCTTTTTTTTTTTTGAGTTGAAGACTTACTCTGTCACCTAGGCTGGAGTGCAGTGGCATGCTCATGGCCACTGCAGGCTCGACCTGCTGGGCTCAGGCGATCCTTCCAACTCAGCCTTCCAGGTAGCCAGAATTAGAATTATAGGCGTGTGCTACCAAGTTGGGCTAATTTTTGGATTTACTGTAGAGATGAGGTCTCACCAAGTTGCCCAGAATGGTCTCGAATCCCTAGGCTCAGGCAGTACTCTTGCCTCTGCCTTCCAAAGTGCTGGGATTACAGTTGTGAGCCACCGTGCCTGGACCTGCTTTTTTTTTTTTTTTTTTTTTTTGAGTTGGAGACTTACTCCGTCACCTAGGCTGGAGTGCAGTGGCATGCTCATGGCCACTGCAGGCTCGACCTGCTGGGCTCAGGCGATCCTTCCAACTCAGCCTTCCAGGTAGCCAGAATTAGAATTATAGGCGTGTGCTACCAAGCTGGGCTAATTTTTGGATTTACTATAGAGATGAGGTCTTGCCAAGTTGCCCAGGATGTTATTGAACCTGTGGTCACAGGAAATCCTCTCACCTTGGCCTCCCAAAGTGCTGGGATTACAGGCTTGAGCCACTGTACCCGGATGCTAATTTAAAAAAAAACAAAAACAAAAACAAAAAACTATCGTAGAGATGAGGT